GAGGTACAGGTACTTTCACCTGAGAATACTTCTTAAGGTCCTAAGATATGGTTTCGAACCAAGCTGTACATTGTGGCTTTGCTCTCCAGACGCATGGCCTGTATGGCGGCCCAACCGTTTCACATGTTCCTCTGGTGGTTCAGTCTGCCACGTGGCGAACATGGTTCTTCATTAGGCGACAAGAGCAAGAAAAGAGATTTAGTGACACCCACTTGAATCAACTGAAGGGTGATTTCTGGCTAAAGTCAGAGACCATCTGAGGATAGGCAGGTTTATTGATCCATGGGATGCCATCAAACTCTAAAAGAGATTAAATTTGTATACTTTTCTACTATTCTTTTAGATTAAGTTTTATCTGTGCCTTGTTGGGCTCGTTGGTCATGGAGCTGAAAACAGTTTTAGGGTTGCTGGAAATGCTGTACAAATGAAAAACAAAATTGGCCACAAACCTAATCATTTCTCTGTTTTGCATATATGAAAAAGTGAGGAAACACTTTACCATCGTGATGTTCACAAATTTTTCGCTTTCCATCTGTTGACTTCAGTTACGTTTGGTCTCCTTTTTTGACCTGAAAAAGGCGTAAGACACCACCTGGAGATACCATGTTCTGTGCTAACTCCATCCTGTTGGCCTTCGTGGTAATCTCTCTTTCTCCAGAGCTTCCTCTCTCATCTTTCCTTTCGAGTGCGGCTTGGTACCGCTCTTTCTGCCGCTTTTCGGCAATACTGTGCCCCAAGGTAGTGTTCTGAGCACTATTCCTTTTCCTGGCTGCCCCTCATAGTCGTCTTACCTCTTTTTCCCTCTGACATTTTCTCTGCTCTTGATGACAATCTTGCCCTCTGCTATCAAGGGGATGACTCGCCTTGTCTCCAACGGCGACGTTAACTAGCGACAGATGCCGTGTCGTCCTGGGCCACCAATTATGGCTTTTAAGTTCTCTCCGGATAAGACTTGTGAAATGACCTTTACTCGGAAGCAGGTCGTCATTCGACCCCCTCTGTCGCTTTATGGTAATTCTCTTTTGTATAAGGATTCTGCAACACTTCTGGGGTTAATCTTTGACACTCGCTGGTCCTGGTTATCCCATATCTCCTACTTCTGAGTTGAATGCTCTTAGGCTCCTAACTTAAGGGCTTGTCTCATACTTCCTGTGGAGCGGATAGGCGCACGCTCCTCTCTTTACATTCTTCTCTCGTGCTGTCTAAACTCGATTATGGCTGTCCTGCTTACTCGTCTGCCTCTCCCTGCACCCTTCGTCGTCTTGATGCTCTTCACCATACTGGGCTCCGTCTTAGCTCTGGTTGAGCTATGTATGCTGAGACCGGCATCCTATCTCTCTAGGACCGCCGGGATCGCTACTGTCCTCGCTACTTTGTGCGGTCCCTACAATACCCTCACTCTCGCTTATGTCGTGCTTTGACCTTCGCTCCTCCTGTGGGACCTGTTCCCTTTCACCACCTTTCCCTTTCTGTACGGTTGTCTCGCTTGCAAGACACTCGGTTCGTGTTGCCAGTGATTCTCCTCGTGTCGTTCCATCCTTGCCCCTTGTGGAGGGTCCCTCTTCCTATGTATTGTAGAACCTTGACCTGCATGACTAAAGCTTTTACCCCTCCTACAGTTTTGAAACGCTTTTTCCTTGCTCACTTTTCTTTGCATTCCCGCTCCATTTCCATTTTCACAGATGGGTCTAAGTCTGCTGACGGTGTAGGCTACTCCGTTGTGTTTCCTGACTGCACCTATATGTGTTGCCTGCCTCCGGAGACTAGCATCTTCACGGTAGAACTTTATGCAATTTTGTTTGTCGGAAAATCCGACACCATTTAATATATCATACAGATAATAGCTGTATTGTATAAACAAGTAACCCATAGAAAACGTAACTTGTAGTGGAATTACCGTCTAAAGAAAACGGGATATCATCACCACACACTATTATAATTCACCACCTATTATGGTGGGAATTATTCTTAAATACATTAGTCTTTGGACTTTACCATCATAAAACATCTTATATAAATTAACTTAATTATCAATGTTAAAGTAGAGTAAATGTGACCCTTCTATCACTTATTGACATCTGGACAAAGTAGGCCAGGGCGTCAGAGTGAGGAGGAGGGCAGCCATTGTTGTGTCACCTCCAAGACGTATGGAGCAAATTTAGCTCCTATCATATCTGGACAATGTCGGCCAGTAACGTCAATAGTATGGAGTGTTAAACAGCCATTGTTTATATTGAGACCAGAGGCTCACACGGGAGCAAATTCGGCTCCTGTTAATTTTACTTGGACGTAGTGTTATGGAAACCAAAGGTACCATCTCCAACACGATGTCTACAATTCAAGTTAAGTGTCTATCCGAAACCCGTTTATCATTCATTTATGGCCATTAATGTCAGGATATAGGGTGACCCGGTTAGATCACGTGGAAGCCTCAAACTAAAGGTAATTAAGCCAGGTCTTCATGTTCCATGTAGTGTTTTCTCTGATATAGCTTGTCATATATAGGATTCTGGCTTCACAGCTAGCGCACTTTTGACAGGTCAAGACGAGGAAGGAAGATTTGTGCACCAGTTACTGGGTGATATGGAAGCTACCTCAAAGAGTATAATTTGGTGTCTACACCCTAGTTATACCTGGTGGACTAACCTGCTGTACTATAAGATAAGGAACCTCTTCAATGTTTAATAATGTGTAGTTAATACTGTAGTTTGATTGGCTGCATACATATAAATATAAACCCCCCTAATGTGTAGAGGATCGATTTGTGAGATTATAAGATTATTGCAGAAATACAGTCCACTTATCATTATACAAATTGCTATCGAAGTATATAAATTAACGTAAATATAAATTCATATAAATTAAATAAATATAAATCTCACAGGTCGGTTCCCACATTGTTTGCTCTTCAACTGCTTTCCGCCGTAAATCTTCCTTTGTTGTTGTAGTTGACTCTCGCAGTGCCCTCATGGCTCTGGAGTCCTTTAATCCTGTCCATCCTGTGGTCGTCGAAATTCAATATTAGCTGTTTCGTATCTCCAGCAGATATAAGACAGTCGAGTTTTGCCGAGTTCTCAGCCATATTGGTGTTTCCTTAAATGAGCATGCGGATGCTGCCGCGAAGGAGGCTATCCTCACTTGTCCCATTTCCTACAAAAGTGTTTCTTATTTCGACTTCTACCCTGTTATTCGTTCCTTGATCCATGCCCGTTGGCAGAATCACTGGTCTTCTGTTACGGGTAACAAACTGCGTGCTCTTAAGGGTAGTGTGTCCCATGGCCTTCCTTCCTACCACCGTAACCGGCGGTGGGAAACGGCTCTGGCGAGGTTGCGTATTGGCCATACACTCTTAACCCACGAATACTTAATTAAGCGCCGCCCTGCTCCTTATTGTCCAAACTACATTCTCTCTCTTACAGTCGTGCATATCGTTGTTAAATCTCCTGACTTCCAGGATGTGCGTGCGTCTTGCTTCCTGACTGTCCCTCACAGTCACCTGTTCGATTGTATCTTTGGTGAATTGGATGCCTTTGATGATATACGCAATATGCACTTTTGTTCTGATATTGTTATCCTTAGTGATATTTAGCGCCTTTTGAATATCCCGCACTTTTGACAGTGCTATAGAGCCTGCCTGGCTTGGCGCCTTCTTTTGATAATTACTTACGTTTGGTCCGAAATCTGTCACACCATGATTTGTGGACCTGTTCTATACCTGTACTGTACCACGGGTGCTGGTGAGAGCTTGCGCCACTTCACGAGGTAGTAGTAGAGTGGCTCGATCCTCTGCTTCCTGAATTGTCTGTCCTCGTAGACTGTTTGCTATGTTTATTGTCTCTATTAACATTAATGTCGGATTCGCGTTTTTTGGGAAGGTTATCCGCGTTCTAAGATCAAATCAAATAAATTTTGGTGGTCAACTGTCGTATTTTGCAGGGTGCTTTCTGCTTCTAACAGAAAAGTTTTGTTTAGAGATTTGTGAGGTCGAGAAAATTGTAAGCATGCCAAACGACACGTAAATGGAGTCATAAAAGTATCACCTGTGGCCTCACTATTCTCTTAGATAACAAGGATAGTCTTGCCCTGCTATTTCATTATTTATAACTCGAATTTGAAGCTTGCTTGACTTTGAGTTTACTAGGCAAAGCATACTGCAGGCCAAGACCAGACACTCGAAGTCTTGAAGACCAAGCGAGTGATCTATGATCAGAACGGTACATTGCTCTGTCTTTAATTCCAACCACCGCAGCGGCCCCTTCTTCAAGCTCCCTACGAGGTGGCATATCAATGCTTCGTATTCAGCTCCGGGAAAGATAGTGAAGGAAAACTGACTAGCAGGACTTTATTATTTATTTAATGTCAATTATTTATATTTAATTTACTATTAATTTATTATTTTATACGAGAGTGGACTGTGATTTATTACACTCAGAAATCACAACAGCGTGATGCATCAGATGAACAAATCCACAAGGGCCGTGACGAGGATTCGAACCTACGTCCGAGAGGATCCCAGACGCTGCCTTAATCGACTGAGCTACGACATGGTGTAAGAATTGCAACCGGGAAATCAACTTGACCTTGTCTAGCTTATTGACAGAGCTCGGATGCATGGGGGGAATTGTGTAAAAACCAGGTTTGTATCTCGGAGAGACTGCAGGATCCGTGGTAGGTCAAGATGATTTCTCGGTTGCAATTCTTATACCATGTCGTAGCTCAGTCGATTACGGCTCGTCTGGGATCCTCTTGGACGTAGGTTCGAATCCTCGTCACGGCCCTTGAGGATATGTTCGTTGTCTGATTTATATTTGTCCTGCTAGTAGCTTCCCTTCACAGGCCTAGGCGAGGGGGGGTATTTATATGGAATGCCAAATCGAAATTAATAAATTGGTAATATTCTACTGTTAGTCTACGCTTACAAGAACAGTTAAATAATGTTTTGTTAAGCTTAGCTGGTTTTGTAGAATGTTGTCTGGTTCACAATAATGGACCCGTCCAGATCATGTAAGCTCAGTCTCCGTGTAGCCCAGGCGTTTAATGGCGTCTCGACGAATCATGTGAAGTCCAGTTAGGATGCTACCAAAATTTCCTTTCGTCTCAACTTTACCTGCCAAATGTTTTCATTATAGAACAGCAATAACAACCTGTGGCAGATATGACAATAAGAATGGAATTTTATATGATTAGTTGAAGCTTACCCGTTCAGGGTGGCTTGCCATATGTCCTAATCAATTAACATGAATATATACATAAATGCTAAATATTAAATATGCGTTAATCGGGATTAGAACACTTCCCGATGGGTAGCGTAGTCGTGCTGATGATGGGAGACTGTGGCGTCCCTCAGCAACTGTGACTGGTGGGAAGTTTGTGTGTGAGATCATACAAGAGTGTTGGCTGGAAAAGGCTTCGTTCTTACGTTCTTAATGGCTCTCTCTCCCGCTCGTCTGGAGCCCATTGTTGATGTGACGACGTATATTGAATTTTGTAACTAGCTCATCAAAATTGTAACTTACTTAGCTATATGAATTGTGGGGTTCAGTCCCTGAGATCATGATGTGCCTCTGTAACCCTTTCCACTACCCCCCCCCCCACAACATGATGGGTATGGGGTGCATAATAAATAAACTATACTAAACTTAATAGCGTCTCTCTCTTCCCTCCCGCTCCAGGGGACGGTTCCGTTTCTGCCTTTTATTGGCAATAGGAAGGAGACCTTGTTTTAATTTGTGATTAAATTATACTCTGTCTTGGAGAATACTTTATCTATTCTGATCCCCTAGACTGGTGGTTTACATGATATACTATATATGTTTGTGGGTAAATTTTAATCTGGAGACGTGACAACATATCTCATTTGCTAAGAGACCTTACAAAATCAAATTTCTTCACGTATTTAACTAGGGGCCTGACAGCTGAGTGGATAGCGCTTGTATTCGTAGTCCCGAGGTTCCGGGTTCGATCCCCCGGTGGAGGCGGAAACAAATGAGCAGAGTTTCTTTCACCCTGATTGTTTGTTACCTAGCAGTAAATAGGTACCTGGGAGTTGGACAGCTGCTACGAGCTGCTACCTGGGGATGTGTAACAAAAAGGAGGCCTGGTCAAGGACCGGGCCGCGGGGACGCTAAGCCCCGAAATCATCTCAAGATAAACTCAAGATGGTATTTAGGATTAGTATTTACTTAACATGCAACTACGAATATTTTTAGCATACCATGTTAAGGGTTAGTAAATGGTGTCGAAACTTTCCGACACATAATTAAGTTGTGTCATTTGAATTGGGAGAACTATAGTTCTGGGAGGAGAGGCAGCTTTGATGTGACACTTTGATGTGATCATTGCAGGAAGAGTTGAAGATATGAGCAGCGCCATCTTGGGCCAGGTTTGTTAAGAGTACAGACAGTACTACCCACACCAGCCTACAATTGGACGAATCAAATGATGTTTCCTACACGAGTCGACTGCTTGTACATATCCATTACATAAAAGATGGTGAATTTAAAGGAGACCTTCTCTTTTGCAAGGCTGTACAACTAACAGCGATGGCAGCAGATATATTCAGTCTTTGGACGAGTTCGAGTTTATTATTTTGTTTTGAGAAGCATCGGATCAAGTGGGAGAAGGTAGGATCTGTCTGCAAATATGGTGCCCCAGCCAAGATAGGGAGCAGGTCCTGCTTCACTGATTTGGTATAATGTAGAGTACCAGATATCATAAAGAACCAGTGTGTTCTCCATCGCCATGCTTTAACAGGAAAGAAACTATCAACTCACCTTAAAAAAATTGTCTGTTCATGTGAATTTCATCCAGGGGTCGCCCCTTAAACCAGTGTTCAAGTTGCTATGTTGAGGAGGTAAGGGAGGGAGCATCAAGTACTTCTCTTCAACTTAGAAGTGAGGTGACTCATGAGAGAGTCCTGATTGCGGAGCGCCATGTTTAAATTACAATGATCCTCTGAGTATCACAATAACTTTGCTGAAAAAATTAAAGACGATGTTCTTCCTCTCTCTCTCTCTCTCTCTCTCTCTCTCTATCTGGTATACATCTTCAATCACTTGAATGACCTTAATTTCTCTATGCAAAGTTCATATGTTAAGTGTTGAGTAGAGAGGGTAGAGTCCTTCAAGAAGATCCTCCTCTGGAAGTGTTGCCTCCAAGGAGGGACTGAGGGAAGCATTCCAGTCGTGGATGAGAAGCTGGGAGATAATTATTTTAGTCCCACACTTGGAGAAAATATCGTTACTTGCCTCTCGTATCTGAAGATCCCCACGACACAGTACTTTCCCATGGATTACACACATCCAGACTGGATTCGGCAGCCCTTCCTGGCAGACACGAGGGATAATGACAACTTGAAGGAAGAGCTCATCTAGGTAAACCAGAGTTGTCAGACTGACAAATTCGCGCATTTCCACTGTCAAACATCTGGTGTCACCAGTTCATAGCGTACCTTGGAATTGCGAGAGGACAGCTGGACATAATTATTCCCATTCCAACGACCTATTTGCTTGAGATAGCGTTCTCAAGCATCTTAATTAGCACCGCAGATCAAATCAATAGCATGGAGCTGCCGTCAAAATGAGCACGTCCATGATGTGAGGGGGGGGGGGACTCTGACCAACACTAAGCCCCGATTGTAGAAACTTGTCGCACCCAAATTAACAACAAAAATCAAATTAATGAGTGACCGATTCATCACCCCCGTTTTCTACGTTTGAGCAAGTTCACACATTCTCTTATCTTTATCTCTTGCATATCGCGTTTGCATAGTACTGGAATTTATAATGCATACTTTTTCGAGAATGAGGAAAATAGTTTTTCACTTGGTTTACTTTATCTTCGTATTAATGAAGCAGATAAAATCCCAGTAACCAGATGAATGGAGTGCTGGACTTGTGAAACCTTGCTCTTAACGAAAGTTAAGGTCGGAAACTGTTGATAAACGCTGCTCTAGAACTTGTGTGGAGGACGACCACGTCCACAAGACTTTCCTTCGTAGATCATCCTGTGATAAGCTCTGTGATTATTCTTAAGAGATGGCAGAGTAAGGTTCCCTCCAGTTGAGCCTTTGGGGGACTGAGTGGAGTGCGTTAAGCCCAACGGGTATATATGAACGCTCTGCCTATGAAAATTCATCTTAATTTAATATATTAAATGGTAAATCCTATGAAAATTCATCTTAATTTAATATATTAAATGGTAAATCCTATGAAAATTCATCTTAATATATTAAATGGTAAATCCTATGAAAATTCATCTTAATTTAATATATTAAATGGTAAATCCTATGAAAATTCATCTTAATTTAATATATTAAATGGTAAATCCAGTCGTTTATCTTCAAAAAAAGTTGGGGACTATAGATGCTTAATATCAGATTACGAAGACCTAAGAAGCTAATGTTCGCCAAATAGGTTATGGGAGCAATCTTGAATGAATAACAACACGCCCCACACGATTCCTTGGGCATAGTGTTCTTTGAACAGTGATCTTCATCTTTGAACTGCAGTGAGTGAGTGCACTCGCTCTCACTGCAGAGCACTGCGCTGTCAACTCTCACTTACATTCCTCCTCCCAAATAATATATTTTATTCCATTCAGCATCAAACCTAAATGATGCACACTTAGTAATGTTAAACTCGTGTATTGATAATATAAAGTTACATATATTTTAATATGAATATTTCTAGCATCATTAATTGTAATAACTTTAGTATTCAAACTCGCGAACACAGAGTTATGGAGAGAGAGTTCTGTTGTCCAGGGAACATGTGTTTCCAGGACACGAACCGAACAAGTTATGGTACGTATTTTGACTACATCCTCGTAACTATAATTATACAGCCACTTAAACAGATGAAACTCTTTAACTCTAAATGCATAGCTATTGTCCCAGTTATTAAATATATATCAAGTCGATAACTGTACATGAAATGTGCTGTTTTGACTTGCAGCCATTTAATTAACAAGAGTGAAATATCTATAAATTAAATAGTTTAATATTGTTGTACACGTATATAGTACTTACAAAAAATAAATAATTTATTATTATTGCTAATAATTAGTGTTATGTTTAATGTAATTCATTCAGGCAAAACTAGTAATGAAACTGTTATTTATTATTCGTATTATCCTACTTTATTATAATTTTTATTTAAACTTTCATGCAAAAAAAAAATTACTTACCCATGACATTTTTCTTCCATATCTCTAATATTATTTTCTTTTGGGGATTGTTAGCTAAAACTTCACTTTTCCTGTACCTTGACAATATAGCTGTTCCCTTCACCTTTGTTATTCTCCTTGAATAGATAAAATTATACTACCAATGATTTACCATTTTGTTATTAATTATTTTCAAGATGCTGGAGTTGTTACTACTATGTTCCTGATGCCACAGCTAGTTTCAATAATTATAATTATAATTTTAAAACGATGTATTTAGATTTTTCATGGAAATAGCCGCGTCTGACCTCTCGTTTGATCGTTTTCTTTCGTGGAAGCTTCAGTTCTGTTCTTCTTAATCTCGAAGAACACCTTGTTCACCCCCAACTGAACAACATGAAGTAGAGTCTGAATGGCCTGGTTTGGATGTAATGCATTTGGTTCGCTACTGGTTACGTCTCGGATTTTATCAACTATGGATACAGAAGTTAACAGCTGCCCCGAATTAGATTCGCGTACTTGGAGAACAGTTTAATTTGAGAGTCGGTGAGAACTAGAACACAGGCAGGTGACGGGCGACCCCCGCACACGGCCGGGTGACCCCCGCACACGGCCGGGTGACCCCCGCACACGGCCGGGTGACCCCCGCACACGGCCGGGTGACCCCCGCACACGGCCGGGTGACCCCCGCACACGGCCGGGTGACCCCCGCACACGGCCGGGTGACCCCCGCACACGGCCGGGTGACCCCCGCACACGGCCGGGTGACCCCCGCACACGGCCGGGTGACCCCCGCACACGGCCGGGTGACCCCCGCACACGGCCGGGTGACCCCCGCACACGGCCGGGTGACCCCCGCACACGGCCGGGTGACCCCCGCACACGGCCGGGTGACCCCCGCACACGGCCGGGTGACCCCCGCACACGGCCGGGTGACCCCCGCACACGGCCGGGTGACCCCCGCACACGGCCGGGTGACCCCCGCACACGGCCGGGTGACCCCCGCACACGGCCGGGTGACCCCCGCACACGGCCGGGTGACCCCCGCACACGGCCGGGTGACCCCCGCACACGGCCGGGTGACCCCCGCACACGGCCGGGTGACCCCCGCACACGGCCGGGTGACCCCCGCACACGGCCGGGTGACCCCCGCACACGGCCGGGTGACCCCCGCACACGGCCGGGTGACCCCCGCACACGGCCGGGTGACCCCCGCACACGGCCGGGTGACCCCCGCACACGGCCGGGTGACCCCCGCACACGGCCGGGTGACCCCCGCACACGGCCGGGTGACCCCCGCACACGGCCGGGTGACCCCCGCACACGGCCGGGTGACCCCCGCACACGGCCGGGTGACCCCCGCACACGGCCGGGTGACCCCCGCACACGGCCGGGTGACCCCCGCACACGGCCGGGTGACCCCCGCACACGGCCGGGTGACCCCCGCACACGGCCGGGTGACCCCCGCACACGGCCGGGTGACCCCCGCACACGGCCGGGTGACCCCCGCACACGGCCGGGTGACCCCCGCACACGGCCGGGTGACCCCCGCACACGGCCGGGTGACCCCCGCACACGGCCGGGTGACCCCCGCACACGGCCGGGTGACCCCCGCACACGGCCGGGTGACCCCCGCACACGGACGGGTGACCCCCGCACACGGACGGGTGACCCCTCCCCTACCTCCCCCCATACAGAAATTGAAATTGAAATAAGTTTATTGAGGTAAAATACACACAAAGGGAGGAGGTAGCTCAAGCTATTCTCACCCCGTTCAGTACATCGTGTTAATACATACATATACACACATCACAAGCAATAAACGTATTACCGAACATTCTGAGAGATAACCCCATACAGACGAGTGATCCCACGCAGACAGACCTAATTTCTTCCGCGATCACCTGCCACATCTGCCATAGGTGTAGTAACGTAACCATGTAGAGTGCCAAGCCTGTGTTATGACTACATAACACACAGGTGTAGTCAGGACAGATGTTCAGCACTCGCTACATCTTGTGTATTAATGGATGTTGAATTATACCATGATTATGATATCAAACCTTAAAGTAAGACGGCGAATTTTGTACCGCGGGGAAGAGGAAGATAACCTTCATTTTGGTTATTAATGACATGTTTTGTATTATTAGTTTTGTGCTTGGCTTACTGCCTATCAACCTCTGAAGAGTTATTAAGGTTGGTCAGTAAGCTTACTGACCAACCAGCAAGTATATTTTAGTCCTGGATGTTGTCCAGACTAAAGTGTGTGTGTGTGTGTGTGTGTGTGTGTGTATATATATGTCGTACCTAGTAGCCAGAACACACTTATCTGCCTACTATGCAAGGCCTGATTTGGTTAATAAGTCAAGTTTTCATGAATTAATATATTTTCTCTAATTTTTTTCTTATGAAATGATAAAGCTACCCATTTCATTATGTATGAGGTCAATTTTTTTTTTATTGAAGTTAAAATTAACGTAGATATATGACCGAACCTAACCAACCCTACCTAACCTAACCTATCTTTATAGGTTAGGTTAGGTTGGGTAGCGGAAAAAGTTAGGTTAGGTTAGGTAGGTTAGGTAGTCGAAAAATAATTAATTCATAAAAACTTGGCTTATTAGGCAAATCGGGCCTTGCATAGTAGGCTGAGAAGTGCGTTCTGGCTACTAGGTACGACATATATATATATATATATATATATATATATATATATATATATATATATATATATATATATATATATAATTCAAGTCCATTCAGGCTTGTTCGCATATATATAATACACCGGGAAGCGGGATATAACTCTCTCCGTATATATTAACTGTGTATTATTAGAATTGCAATAATTTAATATGCAAATATTCTATCAATATTGTTAATATTTTAAATATAAAATTATTATACATAATATTTTTAAATATTTTGTAACATATAAAAGCAGTTAAATGTCAATATTACATTAACTTGTATCGAATATTATTATTGTAATTGTAATATATATTGTGCTGTATTGTTATTATATTCTTATTAATTACCTAATTATGTTATTATTGCAAGATTATTATTTGATTTAACTTATCATTTTAATAATTATTATTGCCAAAAAACTGTTCAAAACACTAGACAGAACAGTATCCATATATAAACACTGCTGATAGTAAACACAGAATGCAAATAGGTTTTTTGCAATTATCTCGAGAGAGGAAAAAAAGATGTTTAGCGTTGGGAAACCGCCCAGGGCCTGGCTGGGCTGCCCAAGATGTGAGATAAGACCCACCTGCTTGTTTCACATGACTGGGATAAGGGTGAGGGAGAGGAGAGGGAGAGAAGAGAGGGTGGGAGAGTGAGATCAAAGAGAGTATAGCAAAGGTCGCTCCAATGGGGCAGTGAAGGAGTGAATTATAACCTGATTTACCTGAGAGCCACTAACACTAGTGGCCTCGACGAGGACAGGAAGCCGGCGGCTTTTCGAAGGTCTCCCCCTCCCCCATCTGCCTTGATAGGAGTCAAATGGGTTTAGACAAACACGGGTGAAAGCCAGGTTGCGCAGGTAACAATGTATTACGTAATGGGGAAATAGGCACAGGGAATAGACGGAGGTGCGCCAAGGACACGCGCAGCTCGCTCGCTAGTTCACGTACAAGTGCGCATGCGCGCCCGCACACAAGGGCTCTGGGGTGCTTGGGAACCGAAGCATATGTTGATTTGCTAAGATTCTCAGAAATACTTGAAGATAAGTGAAGGCGATTGCCAAGTAAGTGGTTATGTTTGGAACTAGAGTAATTAGTCTCATAAGAACATATTTAAAGTAGAATATCACTTAAAAAAATAGGTTTATATATTGTAAAAAGCACACATGTTGCAGGCGATGAGTCACAATAACGTGGCTAAAGTATGTTGACCAGACCACACACTAGAATGTGAAGGGACGACGACGTTTCGGTCCGTCCTGGACCATTCTCAAGTCGATTGTCCATTCTCAATCGACTTGAGAATGGTCCAGGACAGACCGAAACGTCGTCGTCCCTTCACATTCTAGTGTGTGATCTGGTCAACAAGCTCACATGCTCGTGTAGTAACTGAGTCAGTCACACGCTGACCTACCCCTACACTGGGCATAAATCTCCCGCCGTTTACAGAAAGTTGTCAATATTGAGACCATCCATAAAGGATCTTCAGTTCTGTACGAAGCTCTTCCTTGTTTAATGTACGTTTTTTCCCCACGAAAAATAAGCATAATGTGACATTATGCGTATTTTTATGGATAAAAAATAATCTAATTTATTTTATCCATAAAAATAATTTTTATGGATAAAAATAATCCACAATGTGACAACGTATAACCACGAAGAAAACGTAATTCCAAAACGAGCCATTTCTTATCACGTTAGTGAATTGCAAAATGTATTGATCTTGTTGCACAGCCCTTAGAAAGATGCAAGGTGTCTTAGTGAAGGCCGGGTGCCCTAGATCACACGATGCGCTGCCGATCAATATCACTAAGCAATTAGGAGTATTAAAAAAAACTTATTGCGACTTCTAAAGTTGTAAATTACATTTCAAGAAAGTTATTGAGCGCAAGAAGGTAATGAGAGCATTGGTGGTTCCTCCGATCCCCATAATATTTGTTATTATTCAAGATTAATTTTCATTACAAGACAATAGTGCAATGTACAGGACATATTAAATTGAAAATGACCTTAATAAAGCTACACGACATACTTTTTATTCATTTTGCTACCAATGTTAATTTTATGCTACCAATTTTTGTTCACATTTTATTGCTTCAGAAAGAGGCAGTGAAGCCTGTAAAGAGGCTTCACTGTTTCATATATCAAATGCATCTACTTTTATGTAAATAAAATATTATTTTTATTACGAGACGTTAAAAACAGAATTGACAAAAGACAATGATAGTGTTTGTCGACCGAAAAGCGACACAGCGTGAATAAGAAGCTTAAGCGTTTGGTTTTACCAACACTAGGTAAACATTTTTACATATGACCGCACGCACACCCACAAACATTCTCTGGAATGAAAGACTCTCTTACCCTTAAAACTAATTAGTGGTTAAACATTTCACGCATTCGTCGGAGGAGGCTTCAGGCCCTGAGAGTCCTCACTGCCTAGCCAGTTAACGTATGTTTGTGACAGTGAACAATAAAGACAACACGCTAAACCAGACGTACGATATCTTATCCCACACACGGCGAATATATCCTCGCATGGTGGACATGCCAAGTGTGGATACCGTGGGTTGATAGCGACCCATATTACATGGTAAACTGTATGTAACGCTTGTAGCTTTCAGTCAACGGTATCCATTGGGAGTATATTCCTCATTCACTCTCGATACCACACTGAAACGTTATTCTCTCGAAAATTTGTGTTTTTAAATATATGAATATTAAAGTATTATTGATTTAATACTCGGTAAAATAGGGTAGGTGGCAACCCACCAGCAGGAGTATACAAATGCAAGATAAGGCCCCAATTCCGCTCATTACGACGACTCGTACAGGTCGTGTTACACATCGCCACGACTCGCACAGGTGAGCGGGTGGTTGGTGAATCAGATCAGGTCGTACACACACTCTCTCCCTCTAATTGTTAAACCTGTGTACATAGTTTGGTTAGGCTGGATGAGGTTATAAGAAAGTAACATTTGGTTAGGATATATTAAGTAGATCTAGGTAGGGTTTGATTGTGAGGTTTTTTTTAGGATGGGTTCGGTTAGTTATGGAAGATTTAGAACGGGTTAAGTTTGGTTAAATAAGTTTAGGTTAAGTTGGGTGAGATTAGATTAGATTACGTTAGGTTAAGCTGCTACAGTTAAATGTTTAACACATTCCGAAAGCCACTAGCAAACAGTGTTAAGTACGAAATGACCCGTATTCGTGGCAAGTGCTTGAATGAGTTTGTGCTACGAACTGCATTTTTAAATTTACGTGTGCTTAAAACAATATTGTTATATATTACAAGTTTTATATAGAAATGCAAATAATTTCAAGCATTATTTTTATTCGATATTTACGTTGTTACTGAATGTATAACCAGAGGATAAAACATATATTTGTCCCTTGGTTAGTGTCACTATTGTAGGCACCATTACTGGCCGGTGTCTATTTCCTAGGCACCAGTTATGGCTTGTGCCTGTACCCTTGACATCAGTTATGGCTTGTGTCTGTACCCTTGATATCAGTTATGGCTTGTGTCTGTACCCTTGACATCAGTTATGGCTTGTGTCTGTACCCTTGACATCAGTTATGGCTTGTGTCTGTACCCTTGACATCAGTTATGGCTTGTGTCTGTACCCTTGACATCAGTTATGGCTTGTGTCTGTACCCTTGACATCAGTTATGGCTTGTGTCTGTACCCTTGGCATCAGTTATGGCTTGTGTCTGTACCCTTGACATCAGTTATGGCTTGTGTCTGTACCCTTGACATCGGTTACTGGTAATTTCACGTAGGTTGGGGAAGATAGCAAACAAATCCTTACACTTTTCTGACCCTGTTGGCAGTTGTGAACATGATACTGTAATCAAGAGTGTTCATCATCTACATATGTTACACTGTTCCTATACACTAACCTATTTATCGATTACTAAGTTAAGTCATTTTTTCATACAATAAATTAAAAGAGCTTAACCTATGAGTTAGCGTATCGTGCCCACTCACTTGACGTATCGTGCCCTCTCACTTGACGTATCGTGCCCTCTCACTTGACGTATCGTGTCCTCTCACTTGACGTATCGTGCCCTCTCACTTGACGTATCGTGCCCTCTCACTTGACGTATCGTGCCCTCTCACTTGTCGTATCGTGCCCTCTCACTTGACGTGTCGTGCCCTCTCACTTGACGTGTCGTGCCCTCTCACTTGACGTGTCGTGCCCTCTCACTTGACGTGTCGTGCCCTCTCACTTGACGTATCGTGCCCTCTCATTTGTCGTATCGTGCCCTCTCACTTGACGTATCGTGCCCTCTCACTTGACGTATCGTGCCCTCTCACTTGACGTGTCGTGCCCTCTCACTTGACGTGTCGTGCCCTCTCACTTGACGTGTCGTGCCCTCTCACTTGACGTATCGTGCCCTCTCACTTGACGTGTCGTGCCTCTCACTTGACGTGTCGTCTGGAGTCTGGCTACACATCACCAGATAAAACCACAAGTGATCAACAGTTGAAAATACGGGAAATGTGTGTGATCCAAACTATTGATTGTAATAATATAATCTAACCCTGTAATATAGAGATACGGGTATTTAAATATACAATTAAGACGACTTGATTAGATGGAAAACGTGAATCCAACCAACTCTTCTATACATTAAACAGCGCATATAATTAAGACGATACACAAGCAAGAAAGATACACGATACAAGCAAGAAAGATACACGATACACAAGCAACCTCGATACACAAGCAAGAAAGATACACGATACACAAGCAAGAAAGATACACGATACACAAGCAAGAAAGATACACGATACACAAGCAACCTCGATACACAAGCAAGAAAGATACACGATACACAAGCAACTTCGATACACAAGCAACCTGAAAATTCCTCAGCGATACGAGATTGAAGTTGCTTCTGATGAGCACAGTAAACTGTCCAGCAATTAGAGGAATTATCAACAGAAAAGTTTGACCGTTGGCGGAAGATTATTATTGATTGACTCTGATCGAACACAACTCATCAACAATAAAGTACTCGCAATAATAATTATACACTCGAGGCATAATGTTCTGTGGTAACCTACTTGATAACAGCACCCACACATTTCCCGGCGTTGTTCTTTTGTTAACGAGAACCCAACTAATTAGCAGCAGCTCCAGAAATAATATATATGTTGACCAAACAACACACTAGAAATTGAAGAGACGACGACGTTCCGTCCCGTCCTGGAACATTATTAAGTCGATTGTCTGATAAATAATACTGTTATATATATATATATATATATAAATATAATATAATATATATATATATATATATATATATATATATATATATATATATATATATATATATATATATATATATGTAATGTAATAATTCCGAGAACTATAAATGTTACTGTTTTTCATTAAAAGTCAGTGCTGGAAGCAAGCATTGAAACGTTTTTCAGTGTTAATAATATGACTGAATATGTGTTGTCCAGAATTGTCTTAAACCCCAATTTGTTTGTAAAAATTACAGCAAAATCAAATAAAAAAACTAGAATTTTGATAGATAATTCGTTCAAAAGCCAGAGTGCATGGGAGGAATTGAGTGTATAACGTACGATTATGTTACGTTGTTGGGAAGATTAGATATAGTGTTTAGTGGGTTTCACGTTCATTTAGTAGCCTTGACTACAGTAGTCGATTGTTAGCAGTGTCGAAGACGGTGAGAAGGAGCTTGGAGCAGAGCAGAGAGCTGAGTAAGTCCGGAGTCGCGGACCTCTATGAGGGAGAGCGTGGCGGCTCGATGGGAAATCGTGAGTGTCTAAACTCGATGGGGAGCGAGAGCGTTGTAGCTCGATGTGGTCGTAATCTGCTGTCTGCTCTGTGTCGAAGCTGTAGCGTCTTTAGGTCGGTTGGAACTGTACACGCCGAGTGCTACATTCTTGAGGTTGAAGAGGTGTAGTAAATCCAAAGCGTCTGTACAGAAGTAACTAAATCACTTTGGAAGTTGTAATGTTGGCTATTCGATTGATAAAGATTAAGCCACCCAGGAGGTGGCACGGGCATGAATAGCCCGTAAATTGGCTATTCGTTGTTGTTGTTTAAGATTTAGCTACTGGGAATAAAAAGTTCCAACTAGTACGGGCTATGGCGAGCCCGTAGTGGACTTACCTGGCACAGGTGAGGCCTCCACTCGTTGTTATAGATTCAGCTTCTGGGAACAAGAAAGGTGGCTATTCGATTGATTGATTGATGAAGATTAAGCCACCCAAGAGGTGGCACGGGCATGAATAGCCCGTAAGTGGCTATTCGCATATCGCTTGCTTATATTTGCTGACTACACCTCAGCTTCCTCCAATAGGATAGAAGGAGGGAAGAACTGTTACCTGTAATTAGGGAAAAGATTATAGCTTCTGTAATTAGTGCTAATTAGCTACGCCATTAGGCTAATGAGAGGTTGGAGTGAGTATATTGTTTGTACTCGCTACAAGTGAAACCCTGGTTCAGCTTGAGTGGAAGCCTCGGGAATCCTAGTGAGTGCAGTAGTAACCAAAGTTACAATTCTTTTCACATGTCGTGGCATAGTTGTTTAAATAGTGCATCTGGGAATACCCAGTGCATAGGTTCGAATCCTCATCACGGCCCTTGTTGATTATCTTCATTTTTTTATTTGTTTTTCTTATGTCGTGTTCCACTAGCCCCCAATCTCTACTATAGAGTCTATATTTTTAATAAATGGGCAGAGTTTCTTTCACTCTGATACCCCTGTTCATCTAGCGGTAAATAGGTACCTGGGAGTTAGAGAGCTGCTACGGGCTGCTTCCTGGGGGAGGGGGTGTAACAAAAAGGAGTCCTGGTCGAGGACCGGGCCGCAAGGACGCTAAGCCCAGAAATCATCTCAAGATAACCTTAAGAAAATCTTCCAAGTATATGGAAGGTAAATACTCCATAATTAAATGAAGATATGTTTTGTCTTCATTGCTCTGCACATCAACACAATTCCATGATGCTGATACTCCATTTTCGGTATAATGGCCGACTATTCACCTATCCCTACAGTCTCTATTATATGTGTACTCAAGCAACAGTACATAAGAGGCAACTAGCTATTAGTCGTGTTTAACTGTCTATTCTCTCAGTCTACTCCATCCTAAGTAATGACGAAGTTAGTTCTAGTTGCTGTCTGCTTCTCTTGTTCGTATTTCCTCTGACATTTTAGGGTGTGTGTGTGTGGTGTCTTATCAACCTTACTATCCACGTATTGCGGCTAATGCATAGTTTCTTTGAGGCATTTAATATCCCTTCGATATATCAATGAAAATATTTATGTGGGAAGCTGAGATGTCTGTTTCTGCTCCGTTTTTCTTTTATTAATTCTGACTTGGCGTTGTTGAAAACTGGTGGATTGTACACAACTGCTATCGCAGTCTTCCTTCCACCTGGTTATATGATTCATGTGACTGTTTGTATTCTCATTTGTGTGTTCGCCTGTGACTTCCTCAAACGTTTACTCCCGTTTAATCTCCAAGGTTAAACCTCCATTTCTTCCTGTTTTCGTTCATGATATATTACGTTCTCCAAAATGTTGCAACATTATTTAACACTACGTTATGTGGCTACAACATCGGGAAGTCTGCGTCACAGGCCTCGTCTTGAACCTCATTCCCTTTGTTTTGGATTCGATCACCATTTGTATAAGCAGGCGATGAGTCACAATAACGTGGCTGAAGTATGTTGACCAGACCACACACTAGAAGTTGAAGGGACGACAACGTCGTCGTCCCTTCAACTTCTAGTGTGTGGTCTGGTCAACATTTGTATAACGCAACTTCCGACTGAACTCCGTGACAGATTTGGGGATAAGAGAGGCTGGTTTAGAGGGAATGAATGGGAAAAGGGGCGATGAGGCATGAGACCAGGAATATAAAGATTGATATGTAGGGGAGGTGGACAGGCACAGTTACAGCCCCGTTCTTGTGCCGGGTAAGTCCACTACGGGTTCACCATAGCCCGTGCTACTTGGAACTTCTTCCGAGTAGCTGAATCTATAACAACAACAAAGGGGAAGTGGAGGAGAGATAATGTTATGAATGAATGTTAAACGAGGAAGATAAATGAGAGAAAGGTGAAAGGGATAAAGACACTGACGATGGATAAGAAAGAGAGATCTAGGAGGAAAGATAATTAGGAGAAAGTTAAGGAAAGTTGAGGGAAGGGAGGGGGGGAGTAGAATAGAAGAGAAAGGGGAGAAATGTTGGAAAAAAGAGGATTGGAACTGATGATGATGGTGAATACGAGAATGATGAGAAATGTGAGAGGGAGGAGATGGAAGAGAAAATAGGTAATGGTGGTGTAATAGGGTGAGGGAGGTGACGTATAGAGTACTGCAGCACTGGAAGGAGGCGGGAGTCATCAAAGTACATGTGAGGGGAGAAGAGTACACTAGAAGTAGGCCAGTAAGCGAAGCAAAACAAATATTTAATTGAGTTAGGGTATTAGGGACGGAGCAATAGCGAACATCAAAATGTCAGCTGTAGGGAGTGCAAATTGTGTTTAATCTTGGGATAGTAACAGGAATAGTCCACCTTGATTTCCCTCTCTGATTCATGTATGAATACCGTGTCTGTGTGTACTCACCTATTTGTGTCTGCAGGATCGAGCATCGACTCTTGGATCCTGTGTACTCACCTAGTTGTACTCGCCTAGTTGTGTTTGCGGGGGTTGAGCTCTGGCTCTTTGGTCCCGCCTCTCAACCGTCAATCAACAGGTGTACAGATTCCTGAGCCTATTGGGCTCTATCATATCTACACTTGAAACTGTGTATGGAGTCAGCCTCCACCACATCACTGCTTAATGCATTCCATTTGTCAACCACTCTGACTAAAAAAAGTTCTTTCTAATATCTCTGTGGCTCATTTGGGCACTCAGTTTCCACCTGTTTCCCCTTGTGCGTGTGCCCCTTGTGTTAAATAGCCTGTCTTTATCTACCCTATCAATTCCCTTCAGAATCTTGAATGTGGTAATCATGTCCCCCCTAACTCTTCTGTCTTCCAGCGAAGTGAGGTTTAATTCCCGTAGCTCATACCTCTCAGCTCGGGTACTAGTCTGGTGGCAAACCATTGAACCTTTTCTAGTTTAGTCTTATCCTTGACTAGATATGGACTCCATGCAGGGGCTGCATACTCCAGGATTGGCCTGACATATATGGTATACAAAGTTCTGAATGATTCTTTACGCAAGTTTCTGAATGCCGTTCGTATGTTGCCAGCCTGGCATATGCCGCTGATGTTATCCTCTTGATATGGGCTGCAGGAGACAGGTCTGGCGTGATATCAACTCCCAAGTCTTTTTCTTTCTCTGACTCTTGAAAGAATTTCCTCTCCCAGGTGATACCTTGTATCTGGCCTCCTGCTCTCTACACCTATCTTCATTACATTACATTTGGTTGGGCTAAACTCTACCAACCATTTGTTTGACCTTTCCTTAAGTTTGTCTAGGTCTTCTTGAAGCCTCAAACAGTCCTCTTCTGTCTTAATCCTTCTCATAATTTTGGCATCATCCGCAAACATTGAGAGAAATGAACCTATACCCTCCGGGAAATCATTTACGTATATTAGAAACAAGATAGGACCGAGTACAGAGCCCTGTGGGACTCCACTGGTGTCTTCACGCCAATCGGAGGTCTCACCCCTCACCGTAACTCTCTGCTTCCTATTGCTTAGGTATTCCCTTATCCACTGGAGCACCTTACCAGCTACACCTGCCTGTCTCTCCAGCTTATGTACCAGCCTCTTATGCGGTACTGCGTCAAAGGCTTTCCGACAATCCAAGAAAATGCAGTCCGTCCAGCTCTCTCTTTCTTGCTTAATCTCTGTCACCTGGTCGTAGAATTTTATTAAGCCAGTCAGGCAAGATTTTCCCTCCCTGAACCCATGTTGGCGATTTGTCACGAAGTCCCTTCTCTCCAGATGTGCTACCAGGTTTTTTCTCACGATCTTCTCCATCACCTTGCATGGTATACAAGTCAAGGACACTGGCCTGTAGTTCAGTGCCTCTTGCCTGTCGCCCTTTTTGTATATTGGGACCACATTCGCCGTCTTCCATATTTCTGGTAGGTCTCCCGTCTCCAGTGACCTACTATACACTATGGAGAGTGGCAAGCAAAGTGCCTCTGCACACTCTTTCAGTACCCATGGCGAGATTCCGTCTGGACCAACAGCCTTTCTAAAATCCAGATCCAGCAGGTGTCTCTTGACCACCTCTCTCGTAATTTCGAACTCTTCCAAGGCCGCCTGGTTTACTTCCCTTTGTCCTAGCACAGTGCCCTCACCTTGTTCTGTTGTGAAGACCTCTTGGAACCTCGAGTTGCGTTCATCGTCCCTTGTGTGTGTGTGTGTGTGTGTGTGTGTGTGTGTGTGTGTGTGTTTGAGAGAGAGAGAGCCAGCGTGTGCGCGAGTGTGTGCGCGTGCACTCGAGCACCTATGTGGAGAAACCTTGTCACCGGGAGCCAGCCTTCCGTGATGGGAACAGGGACGCAAGGTGGGGGGCATGCAGGTGGCACTTCCCAAGGCGGTGCGCAGAGGCAGACACTAAACAGATGTTCCCGAGGCAGCAGACGCGCCCGGAGATAATAAAGGCTGCCCCACACCCAGACAAGAGCCCAGACAACACTCCTGCAAAACGAATAAACTTTCATTGCAAGGATATTCCTGGAATTTAGACAAACAGGTTGTCCGGATAGACTGAGGGGAGGGGGGGGATATTTTGCCTCCAAACTCTTCAAATAAGGAGAGGGAGAGCAAGTTAGTCCCGCTCCTGTGCCAGGTAGGTCCACTACGGGCTCACCATAGCCCGTACTACTTGGAACTTTTTGTTCCCAGTAGCTGAATCTTAACAACAACGGAGGGAGAGAGAGGTGACATTAACCTAACGTGCGTCTTTATGGTGTTATTGAGAAAGAAGAAGGATTAAATAATTAGCAGAGGAAATAATAAAGCATATAAAGAAACTGGTCTCAGGGGAAAGTAGAAAAGTGAATGGCATCATTTCTTTTGTAGTAAAGTTCTGGGTAAATGGATTAACTAGGATTAGTAGTAGATGGTTAATAAAATAAATGTTCACTTAAAGGTATTCGTAATTTAATGAAAGTTTCACACAAAATACGAGCAGCTTTAGTTATATGGCGTTTTCCACCATATAGATATAAAGAAATTGGATCTTGCTTAAAATTCCTACAATTACTTAGATATGACATCTATCTGGTAATTTGTATCTAATAATATGATATAACAATTATGAGAAGAATTTAAAGTATACGGCAGTAGTGGACAACAAAATATTGATTTTTTTTGTGTGATATAAAAACGACTTAATTATCAAGTCGTGTGTGATAACACGATTTGATAAGGGTCCTGGACGGACCGAAACGTCGTCGTTTCTCCATCTTCTGATGTGTGGTTTGGTCACCAACTAACCTTAATTTTTTTACTTTTTTATTGATCTCTGCCTCTGACGTCCACATTAATGTTTGGACCAGTGTGGAGGAGCGTTCACTTATCTGAATATGACCTGTTTTATTAAATTATGATTTAAATTGCATGGTTTGTTTTGTTATCCTCTTTAATCTTGAGTTGGGTCATAAGGAAGGCTAATCCCTGAAGGAATGTTCCTTGTAATCTCGTTCCTTAGCAATCTGCCCTGGGTGTCGCAGTGTATATTTGAGTGTGAGATATTTAGGGAAATGTTGACTGCCAACCACCTAGTTGGAAATACCCTGTATGTTTACCATTAGTGAAAACTGCAGATACTTCGGTGACATAAAGAACTGGGAGGATTACTTCTGTTGAATTCCCGTCCTGTTAGGGGCCTCGTAGCCTGGTGGATAGCGCGCAGGACTCGTAATTCTGCGGCGCGGGTTCGATTCCCGCACGAGGCAGAAACAAATGGGCAAAGTTTCTTTCACCCTATGCCCCTGTTACCTAGCAGTAAAATAGGTACCTGGGTGTTAGTCAGCTGTGTCGGGCTGCTTCCTGGGGGTGGAGGCCTGGTCGAGGACCGGGCCGCGGGGACACTAAAGCCCCGAAATCATCTCAAGATAACCTCAAGATAACCTGTTAGCCGGTGACATTTTCAATGGAATGCAGGTAGGATCCCCCAGTGCACGGTGGAAGGATTGGAAACCGTTGCTCTGTTTATAGTTACGTTGTATTTAGTCAATTTTTTTCAGAATCTCCGTCATCTCCGGAACTGAATATTTCCATAACGTGTGTTGTATCTCCTGACTCCCAGATGACTCGGTTGCTGCTGCTTCTGGCTCTGCCAGCGCTCTCTCTTGCCTATTACGCTGACCATGACTCCTGGCTGGTGAGTACTGTGTTACTTCTGTATCCTCATGTTGCACTATATCACCCTCCTTCACACCCCTGCCCTTCAGGCCAGCCTTCACTCGCTCCACCTCACACCCAGCTTCGTCAGCCTGACACGTTATTTCCTTCACTTATAACCCCCATGTGTACCGTCTTGCCCCGGCCCTGGACCCCTCTTGCCCCGGCCCTGGACCCCTCTTGCCCCGGCCCTGGACCCCTCTTGCCCCGGCCCTGGACCCCTCTTGCCCCGGCCCTGGACCCCTCTTGCCCCGGCCCTGGACCCCTCTTGCCCCGGCCCTGGACCCCTCTCTTGCCCCGGCCCTGGACCCCTCTCTTGCCCCGGCCCTGGACCCCTCTTGCCCCGGCCCTGGACCCCTCTTGCCCCGGCCCTGGACCCCTCTTGCCCCGGCCCTGGACCCCTCTTGCCCCGGCCCTGGACCCCTCTTGCCCCGGCCCTGGACCCCTCTTGCCCCGGCCCTGGACCCCCTCTTGCCCCGGCCCTGGACCCCCCTCTTGCCCCAGCCCTGGACCCCCCTCTTGCCCCGCCCCTGGACCCCCCTCTTGCCCCGCCCCTCGACCCTTCATGCCCCACCTCAGCCGTCCCTCCTACCCCCACCTCAGCACTTCGCAGGAAAATGTAATGTGCATAATATGCTACTCTTAATAAAATGGCACAAAAATTATGATTTAAATGAAAATAAATAAAAATAAATAAAGCAATATTAATAAATAATTAGTATATGGCAGTAATATCGTTTAAGCAGGAATTGTCGAAAGCTGTTTAGATTCTTCTCCTCTCTCTACGATTATAACTTACGATATCCTCATCACATTTCTTGTGCAGGTACAGGTTAAGGATGAAATAGGTCCGGGATGCGTGAAGGGTAAACCTGAATATCCTGGCATCCCCACTGATATTGGTGTGTGCCCAGCCATCGACCTTCCGGATCCTACAATCTTCACCAACTGGCACGACTGTACCTCGTATATCTTGTGTGTAGATGGTGAGCCCACTCTTGTGTGCTGTCCTGCTGATGAGTACTGGGACATTGCCATGCAAATCTGCGACGATCTTCCCCATGTAAGTCTTCCCATCCTGGATCATGTCTGTAATAATTTCCAACACTTTATCATCTCTCCCTTCAATCTCTCGCGCTAGTTTTAAAATTGAGTTTTTTTTTAATCTTTTGATGTTTTAGTGGGATCAAAATGTGTTTTTTGGTTCGAGAGTAAGATCCAAAGCCCGCAAATCGACCCAGTTTTAATTGAATGAATGTTGTAGCAATTTTTTATTTTTTTTACATTTCAAGACATCAATTGGGTTAGCGTCAACCACTTAATTACAATTCTTAACATGGAAGTACCTTCTAACGACTTACCTGTTTCATATAGTTATTACTTTTTCTCTCATACAGTTGATTCGTTCCTAATTACAGCCTCTTTATAGCTATTAATTGATTTATTGTTTCATTATTCGTACTCTATGCCTAATACTCGCTCTTTTATTCTTAATGCTATCGTCCGTTTGTTTAATACTAGATTCTTTAAGCCTAATATTAGATTCTCCATGCGCAACACTAGTTTTCTTTAGGCAAAATACTATCTTCTTTGTATAACCAGCTTCTGTTTATTAAATATTGGTTTCTTTGTGCTTAATAATTGATTTTGTATGCTCTCAAAAATATATCTCTTTTGCCCCTTTTTTGCCTTTATATATTTTAACTTAATAGCTTCTTATCTTTTCATTATTTTTTATTTTATTTATATGATTTCAACTGAATTTGGTTTTGTGTTTAATTTCAGTTCACTGAATTAATTGCCCTCTTAAAATGAACCTTGTAATATCACCTGCAAATGATGAAGTTTCATATTGTACATCTCTACAATATCATTTAAACATTTTCTCGTCCTTTAACATATGTTATATTTTCTTTTGGCTTATTTGATTCTAATAGATTTGTGACTTTAGACATAATATTTATGAGTATTATATGTTTTATGGCTTTCAAACTTAGTTAAAATATTTGTTTATGGTCATATTTCTATTAAAACCCGTTTCGTTTTCCTTTTCTAAGTAACAGTATTTTGGAGTTGTGTGTTTTAATGTACGAGTAAAAAGTAGAAAATCAACTAAATAATCAAATTAATCAATAAAGGATGGGAGAGAGGGAGAAATAGTGTGGACAAGAAAGCCTGATTCATATATGCATTAAATATGATGATTCTGCTCATCCCTAGGTCTATTGTCCTCCCCGACCGATTCTTCCTGAGAAATCAACCACCACGACCACCACGACAACGACCACAACGACAACGACCACAACGACAACGACCACCATGACGCCACCGCCACCTGATTACATTCCAGAGAAGTGCTCATCAATCCCTCTCATCCCTCACGTAAATCTACCCATGGAAGAAAGCTGCTACTCCTACTACGAGTGCGACTATGGGGATGCTATCATCACGGAGTGTCCCATGGATGGCGACGAACATATGGTCTTCAACCCAGTCACTCAGGACTGTGACTACCCCTGGCACTACCCTTGTGAAGATCACATAAATCATTAAATGCTATTATAAGTTTCCATCTCTCTTCTCGTCTATTCTTTCTCTCTTCTGCTCTTGTCTGCAGATAGTCTATTTTTTATCTTTCGTTCTTCTTGGCTCCATTCATCTTTCTCACTCAGGATTTCCCCTTCATAGCATGATCTCTTGGGTTCTAGGAGCCATGTAGACACTAAGAGTAGCACTGTTGTATAGTCAGAAGTCACTGTTACCTTTAAATATAACTGCATTCTTGGTAAGCCAACTAAGCCAAGTAGAAAAATCCATTTCCACGCACTCCATGAAATCCGAAAAATTTCACTTATTCAAGATGAGTAATCTTGAATTTTGAGTGACGTGGATCCCAAAGAAATCCTCAGTAACCCATAGAAGGAACCTGGGACATAAGCCATGTTATCAAGAGTCCGAAGCAGGTCAGCTGGGAGCCTATACGGGTGATCTGGGATATTACACGAGACAACCTGTGTCCTGGACGAGCTACATGGTATCCTAAATAAGTTGAACCCAGTTTCCTTGAAGCCAGTTGACCCTGCATCCTTGTCAAGTTATCAGGGGCTGGAGTCACCGCCATCGAGCCGGGACTGTGGACTCTTGGTACCCACTGAAGTCTCCTCATGTGGGAGAGATTTTAGTCTCCACTGAAAATAACTGATGGAAACAGAGAAGTGTTATTTATATCCAAATAACAAGAGTTATGTAAACCTTGAGCTGGAAAATATTTACCGAGTACTAATTTGTACATGTTTTACTTAAGTAAATGTTATTGTTCTAAATAGTTGTAATTTTTTAAATTGCCTTAATATCTGCATTATAATAATCTCCAGTTCTGCTAAACTTTCCTTTTCATTGCTTTTACTACAATACATTAATAAGTGTGTGTGTTTGTCTATTTATCCCCTATTGTAGTAAATTTGTAATAACTCATAGATACAGGGAATAAACAGCTGTGCATGAAGCCCTGTGGTAAACAGAGAGAGAGATGCGGAACACAGAAGGAACTATCAAGAGGAAAGCGCCAAGCCATTACGACTATGTAGCACAGGGAAGGAGTCAGGATAAGGATTTGGGATGGGACGAGGGGGAGGAATGGTGTCCAACCACTTGGACGGTCGGGGGTTCAACGCCGACCTGCATGAAGCCAGACCGTTGCTCTACCGTCCAGCCCAAGTTGTTGGACTTGGGCTGGCCCGAGCGATCAGCCCAAATCTGTGATCTCTGAACACAGAGATCACAGAGGATCGCACGAAAACCAAGGACACGTAATTGGCACCCCATTTAGCTCTGAAATTACGAAAAATAATTAGTGGGAAGAGATGAGTGACGTGAAGGCAAGAAGAGATGATATAATCCACATTATAGAGGTAGCGGGAAGGGAAAAAAAGAGAAATAATCAGGCGAGAGCACTAAGCCCATACGAGTATGTCGAGAGCGAAAAACGTGCAAAAATTAGTGGGAAGAAAAGTCGTATCGAAGAATTCTGTTGATATTTGCAAAACCACGAGACAAAAGGTGAGCATCAAATAGTTTGAGAACATTTTGATGTAATTGTTAACTGTCCTGTAGTCGGCTTCTTTATTCAGATGTTGACACTTGTTTTGACACTTCACATTAACATTAACCACTATGCAAAGAGCCTTGAAGTGTTTAGAAAAAACAAACTTCATGTTGGATCACTCGTACTCAACGCCCCCCTAAAACGAATCTTGGCCCCCAGACTTGCATGTCGACTTTCTCCTCTCGGTACCTTGTTAAATGCGATAATCTTCCGAACATGACTTGTGTCTGTGCATTAATTCTCTCTCCTTCTTCTTCATTTTTCTCTTTCACTTCACTACTACTCCCTTCTTATATCCCTCTTCCCCCAGCTATCCCCCACTGGAACATTTATATGTTGCCTTTATTTTTATCATTATTTTCTATATCTGGTCTCTCTATATTTTTTACTGGGTTCCCTAATCCCGTCCTGCTCTTGGTCGTGACGACGTCACTTGATTTAAACCAGCTGGTGGGTCTCCAGGTCTGGAATTCTCAATGGTCCACAACTGATAATTCTCGATAAATCTTCTCATTAATAATGTTTAGCGACTATGGGCTGTGTATTTTAATGTTTTCCAGTCTCGATGCTGAGTCATCCAATATATAATATTTGTTTTGTATACCATATGGTACATGTGTACCATATGGTACATGTGTACCGTATGGTACATGTGTACCATCTGTACCATTTACCAAGGTTATGGTATTTCACCATGATGATACCTGCATCAGCGTTGCACATTACCGCCGTAACTCCCGACAGAGAACACTCTTGGCTGTGACGGAGCTCTACGCTGCCACAGTCATAATATCAGTCAATTCAGTCACAGCAATTGATTGCCAATTCGGCCATTAAAATCGTATAGGCAAAACGAGTTTGTGAGATTTTTTCTAATCTAAAAGTTCGTTATAGCGACACTTTTCCGTTGTTCCAGGAAGTTAATTTACGTACGTAATTCTGCGATGGCTTCTTAGATGCCAAAGTGTGCTCTGTATACTTAAGATAATTGACATTATCCATAATCAAGGTAAAACTACGTATTCTATTGTATATAGACCTCACTGTCCAGCCTTTGCCACTCTGCAATTCCCGTGAAGTCTCCCCTTAGATATGGAAGTAAATGTCCATTTTCTATCAAGTTCAGTCAATAGCAGTACGTAAAAAGAAAACGCAAAAATATTTCAAATAAATAAAATAAATATGTTTATTCAGGTAAGGTACATACATACAAGTGATGTTACATTAATGGATTGATATATAGATAGAGCTAGTACATACAATGCCTAAAGCCACTATTACGCAATGCGTTTCGGGCAAAAAATCCTTAAAAAATTCATTAAATTTTAGATATTATTCTTGAACACTCTTCCTTAATGCCACCCGAGTTTTTGAAATAACAAACTACTTTGTGCTCTAATATATTAATGATTATTTTGCAAGGCCGTCGGAACATTAATAAAATGTTTTTAGTAATTTTATAATTGGGTATATATTTGTGGTTCAGGGATATTCTCCTGTGTATAGCAACAAGAGGACATATCAGGGATATATATTCAGCTAAAAGTATACCATCTTTTCGGTGAATATATATACTGAGAGTTTACCTTCATCCTGAACATAGTCCAGGATTAATGTATACTTGCTGATTGGTTAATAAGTAATTGTAGAGACCACGATAACCTTCCAGAGGTTGATGGGCCTTAAGTCCAAACACCAAAACCAAAGGATATATCGGCGAGATATATCCGTCCAGCAGGTCGTTACCCGCCAAACACACACGGAAACTGCGACGTTTGTACAACGTTCGAACAAGTTTTAACACCTAACCAGTTATAACAACCAATATAGAAAGTTGTAACAACGTTCTAATATGTCATAAACACACTAAGCCAAGATGTAAATCTTTATTACAAGTTGTAACAAGCAGAAAATAGAGACAGTTTCGGTTTGTGTTTCCAGGGTACTGAATGCCAGCTGCTAACTTTGTGTCATGTTTAGACAACATTTACCTGTTAATCTACCCCTTCTTCCCAACCATTCTTCTTCTTAAGAGGCTGAAAGAGTTATCTTGCAAATATTTAAAACTAGGTTTTAAGTAATAAAATACAAGATCACACTTTATAATTGCTTCAGGTTTAAAACACTTAACTGAAATAATGTTAAAAATGTTACAGAAAGAGTGTGCTAAGAATTCCTTAATTGAATTAAAAATACATATATTATTATATATATATATATATATATATATATATATAATATATATATATATATATATACACACACAAGAGTTCGTACATTCCTATACAGCCACTAGCACACACAGCGTTTCGGGCAGGTCCATAATCCTGATTTTCCCCGGAATACTACCCGCCAAATTGTTTGACAACCAGTTAGTCATTCACTGCTGGGTGAACAGAGACTACAGTTAAGGATTGACGCTGTCAATCCACCCCGGCCAGGATACAAACCCAGGCTAAATTGCTTTAGAAACGCTGGGCGACTGCTTTACTACTGCGCCACGGGGACTGCCCAGTATATGAGTAAATGTTTAATGATACATTAATGCAGCTTCCATTTTTTATTAGTATTATTATTTTATACTTTTTTCCCATACTTATTCTCGTATTTCTTACTTTCATTCTTCTTTATTTCCATACTTCACCTTACTTTAAATCTATTATTGTATCTTATATATTACTACTACCTTCTCATCTTTCACCTCTTTCTTAATAAAGTGTTTTTCTCTACTAATCTTTTTTTTGTATTCCACAATTTCGTAATGATGCAACACGGAACGAAACGTCGTCAATTCCTTTATTTTCAGATTTGAGGATTGAATGTCTAATTTTCAGACCCGTTAATGTGATTTATCGTCTGCATTATGATATTGTATGTAAAATGGTTCTACTTATTTCTAATGTGTTTTGCCTTGAGGTATTAAATACATATAAACACTGACACTAATATACTCTTGGGACGACACTTGCATACTATTAATGATGGCAAGGTCGGAAAGCCTTCCTGCGTTCCTTCTAAATATGAAGAGCCTGGAAATGCACTAATAGTTGAGAGTTAAGACGGGGGGCGAATGGGTGTGAGATCTGGGATGAGGTGATCTGGGTTGAGGGATCTGCAGCAAGAGGCAGCAATGAGACGCAATATTGCATCTCCATCTCTGCTGAGGCTGAGCGTTTTCCCTCCTGGTCGACGACCGGGCCGCGGGGACGCTAAGCCCCGGAAGCACCTCGAGGTAAGGTCCTGTTACACATTGCAGAATACCCGAGGTTTGTGTCACTTCCAAGGAGTTGGTCTGACCTCAGGATGCTGGAAAAACTATGCAGATTGGTGAGTGTATCATGAACCAGTGTGATCCCACCTGTTTTACAGGTAGGTAAAGGTAGGTAGGTTTTACGGGTCAGGGAACCCGTCGGTTCACAGCCGATAAGTCCCTGGTTCGATTCCCGCGTTAGGAAAGAGTAGTTTAGAAAGTTTTACTTCATCAAGATGCCTTAGATCACCTCGCAGCAAAAATGTACCTGGGAGCTAGGCAACTATTGTGGGTTGTATCCTGGGGAAGATGAATTGTTGGTTGAGGGGGGAGGGGGAGGGAGAGGGATCTTCATCAGCCTAACAGGCATCTTTTTCCGGAAAATAGTAAACCCAATTATTACTACTACAAATTAATAGGCTACTCAACTATTCAGGAGGCTGATTTGTTAATTCATTAAACTATCAGACGCAGAGTATTTTCAGAGTAATGAGCGGAAGCTGGAGATGTGAGGGAGACAACGACCTGCTTCCTTACACGCAGAAGTGAGCAAAAATATTACACACTCGCTGAAATCTAGTCGAGATGAACGTGTGGGAGCGTAGCAGGTGTAGGACAGGTGTGTGCTGGAGAAGTGCGTACTGGAGGTGTGTGTGCTTGACAGGTGCATGTGGGGGAGGCGATGGGGAAAAAGTGTGTATAAACCTGAAATAAACCATTCAGTTTATATGTATATCAATAGGAAAGGGACAGAGGACAAGGGCAGACAATGGAAAGTTGACATGAGAGAACGTGGAGAATGGAGTGAATACGAGTGAATACGAGTGAATACGAGTGAATACGAGTAAAATAAGACAAATAATGAAAAATATATTTCCCATGTATTTATTTTATTTGTTGTGTTGTGGCCACTAACATGAAGTAGATTTAAAACCTATTGATCGAGATATGACTTTTATGTAGTTTTAATCTATCCAAACATGTGCCCATTTTCTTTCGCAGTTGGTCCAAAGAAAACGTTTTAGGGCTAACAATGATCAAGAACCCACACAGGATTTTGCCCTGTAGAACA